AATCTGAATCCCAATGACTTAAACCTTGGAAAAATGACTCAACCTCTCTGTGCTTCAGTTTTCCCATCTGTGTAAAGTAGGGATTGCTGTAGGTGGTTGTTACAGGCATGGGAATTAATATTAATTAAAAAACGAGTTATTAGTGTATTTTATCATACTTGACTCTCAGTCCAGTTTTCTTTTCATGTGTTGGTTCCCTATATGTAAAATGTTCTTTTAATGCTATTTATAAGTGTCTTAGTTTAAAAAGAACTTTTAATTGCTTTATAAAGCACTTATTTTATTCACACAATATATTTTGAGATAAGACTAGGAAAAAGGAAAAAAATTCTGGGCAACTCCCTTCCTACTCATATAACAAACTCTGTGAAAAGAAGAGAATAAAAAAAGTTGAAGTGGACAGTCTTAAATTTTTGTTTCCAAACAGAAAAGTTCCTGTTTGAGTAACAGTGAGCAGATATCCCATCTATTCAAGGAAGGTAAGGAGGGGAAGTTTTACATTCAAATTGTAGGGATATGGAAAACATGTTAGAAAAAATATCCTCACTCTAAGAATTATGAGATAATTGTAGATGCTAAAGAAATAAATAACCACCTTTCAAGAAAATGAGAAGGTAGGGGAAGGGAGTTGGCAATTAAAAAAATTCTTTTTCATTTTCCATATAATAATTACAAAAATCATTATGTCTTCATCTTTAAAGATAAACAGATACTGTTTCTGAACAAGCTTTAGTCGAAAATTACTTAATAGTCACTATGTACCAAACTATGAAAAGTAAAAATAATAACCACCTTTTGTTTTTTTACCCTGTTTATGCTAATTAGGGCAAATCACTTAATCTATAACCTGGTTTCACTGGCAAAATACTATATTAAGAATGTTTTGGGGTTTCTAGGTAATGGCAAAGTAGCAATCAATGAGAAGAAAGGAAACAAGCTCTCTAAGAAATGTAAGACTGAGTAAAAAAATGCTGTGCAAATCATGAAAAACAAAGCTCTTATAGGATGGAGAGACTGTGGAAAAAAAGCACCAGGTATCAGAATCACAAGAGGAGCTTAGTTATGATACCAAATTCCCTCTTAACTCTCCCCATTGTTATTTGAGAATAATGAATTAAAGACGTATCATTGATATTAACTGAGGAAGATAATTAAAAAGTATAAAATTATTTTCTTCTTAGACAAGGCAGGAATATGACCTGATGACTGGAATTGAGAGAACATAATTATCAATAGAACCACTATAAGAAAAAAAGGAAGGAGGAAACATGGAAGAAAGGTGTTTTTGTTGCTTCCTTGAAAAGCAACTCAGATAAGAAGGTAACCATTCATCACACAGGAAATATGGCCATTATCAAATACATAATTTTTGTGTATGTTAACACTGATATATTCTAAATACAGTCTAAATCAAAAAAGGCGCAATCCTTGCTTATTTTAAGCATACAATCTAAAATCACAGATCATGTAAGATTTTATATATATATATAAACAACATTTACAAACATATTTTCAAGAAGTTATTATAATATTTATGTTGAAAGACAACAGTATGAGTAAGATTGAAGTAAAACGATTATGGGAAGAGAAGACAGAAGGGATAAGATGAAAACAAGAGAGGAGATATTTGATTGAAGAAAACACAGAAAGGAGTGTAAGACCCAAGATCTCTTTGGATTATCAATCTATGATCTGTTCAATACTCTTAAAGGTCATACTGAGAGATGTAGTTGACGGAGGTAGGGATGAATCAGGTATGGGATGAGGCTGCACTATGTTCACTCTGCTTTGGTGTCCAGTTAATAAATCTACTAGTACTCTTACTATTGAATCAACCTATTCTCAAATCCTATCAGGCATATGCCCACGGGCAGAGTCCCCCAAAAGCCAACAAAAGATGTCACCAGTAGATAATACATCCAGAAAATAAAGTCTATAATTCAAGATTTTGGTGCAGGGAATTTACTTGTTCATGTCAGAGTTCTGTAAATAAAATCATCAATACTACTATTTATTGTTTTTTGGATACCAGGCACTATGGTAAACAATTTACATGTATTATTATCACATTTAACCAACACAACCACCCCATGAGGTAGTTACTATCCACATTTTACAGATGAGGGAATTGAAGTTTACAAAGAAATGATTTTCGGGCCGGCCCGGTGGCGCGCTGCTACAGTGCACCGCTTGGGAGCGCGGTGGCGCTCCCACTGAGGGTTCGGATCCCACGTACAGACCGGCCACTCACTGGCTGAGCGAGGTGCGGGCGCGACACCGAGGGTTGCGATCCCGTTGCCGGTCACGAAAAAAGACAAAAAGGAAAAAAAAATAGGAAATTTTGTTATGTATATTTTACCACAATGGAAAAATTTAACTTTAAAAAATATATATTTATAGCAGTTTTTAATGACTCTCACTACTCCTAAATAATCCTGGTTTTCTTTGTTGGTTTGCAAATTTCAGTTCACTGGAGGTAAGAGGAAGTATTAAAAATAAAAGAGAAAGTTAATATTATAGTGGCATCTGAAAAGCTCTTTCAAATGGAAGAAGTTCTTTAGAAATTGTACAGATGATTGAAAGTATCTCTGTTGCTTTATCCATGTATGCCTGGCTTCAGAGAATGAACAATTTCCAAAAGGCAGAAAGGAACTAACACTAACCACGTAGTGGGCACTGTTCTAGATGCTTCTGCTGGCCTTGTCTCATTCTGTTCTGACCCATAGCTGTAAGTAATACAGCATACAGCAGAGACAGAAGTGAAACTAGATCTGATATCAAAGCCTGAACAGTAGCCAAAGTCTATGCAGTAATTTAAACTCAAAATATGAAGTACCTTCGGATGTTGAAGAGGTAACACAACACAATGTACCCAAAATAAAATTTCAAAAGTCTAATTACATAAAAAAAGATGGAAAGAATTTCAGCAATAACACTGAGCAGGTCTAGGTAAAGGAATACAACTAAATAGTTTAGTTATAAACTTGTTTTGAGTTAGAGTGTGTATGACAGAACATAATTAACAGGTCCGCCCAAGAAATATCATTGATAAGTTTCAGATATGAACAAGGGAATTCAATCAAGAGTACCAATGAAAATAATATTAATATCCAGAAAGTGATTACAAAGCTTTGAAAGAGGAAAGCTCAGAAATCATCTTGATTCTTTCATGCTTATGCAGAAAATATTCCTAAAACAGAGGTGGGGTGGGAAGCAGAGGATCATCCTCAAATTTCCAAAAATAATTCTCCCTAATCTGCTAGTTGGTGGGGCTGCCAGCAACATTACTTTTCTTGGCAGTTTACACAGATAAACAGAAATAGAAACTTGAGTCTTTAAAGATCCAAACCCACATCCAATAGGATATACATAGGCCCTGCCCTACATGAACCGGAGCTACTTTGCTCCATGAAATTTTAAAAGAGACCGCAATTCACGGAACACAACCAGATATTCCTGGAGGTAACTATGATAAGTAAAAAGTAAGGAATTCCAAGTTCCAAGGTTCTGGATTTCAGGCTTCTAAATTAAGACAATCATGCACACATGGCTCTTCTTCCACCCACTTGCAAACCTGTATAAACATATATTCTGCTTGAAAAATATATGAGATAAACATCAAAAAGAGAAGAATAATAAAACAATCTGTAAAGGAAAGCTCTTCCCTTTTCATTACGTAAAAGTAGTATCTGAAGAAAATAATTATAGAAATGAAAAATGTAAATGGAGTAAGATGATGTCTACCTCCTCCCAACCCCCAGTCACATAAGAGACTATTGTGAAAATTGGGACTAAAGAGTCATACTGAAATGGCATTCTATTATAAATTCCTCAAATGTAGGAGGGATCATTTTTACACAAGTGTAGAAAAAGTTATCAGTGGATGCTCAATAAATTTTAGTAACACAAGCCCATGCTAATAAGCTTTCATAATAAAGAAGTGACAGATATATAAAAAGAAATGTATCTTGTAAGCATGACTAATCAGAAAATTAATGGAGATTTGGAAAGTTGGCAAGGATAGTAAGATAAGTATTTTTTATTTGACATAGAGCCAAGACATAAAGCGGATGATTAAATAATGAAAAGCACTGTTCCTCTAATAATGTAGTCAAAAGGAGATATTGTGGAAAAAACAATTAAGGTATAATAATAAATAGAAAACAGTCCAAGGAAATTTCAGTGGCTTCCTATTATAAGGGTCTGAAGAAAAAACCTACAAAACTATTAACAACTAAAGAGAAAAACAAGTATATTAATGCAGAAATCAAAAGAACTAAGTCTGTAAATACAAAATTAACACCTAAATTTCAGTATAGCATGAAAATTTTTAATGTTTCTAGTCAGGAAAAGCAAACAAGAATATGTGCATGGGTCTAGCATATATGCAACCCTGTAAACACTCACAGCTTATGGGTGTCCTTGGAGTCACATTCCTAAGCAAAGGACAGAGGTTTCTAGTAACGCTCAGGGCTTTAATCATAGAAAACTGTCCTTAAGAACATGTGGAACTCACTTCTAAGTTTAGGTTTGCTCATTACGCTAAAAATAGGCTTGATAAGAAAGTGTAATGACTAAAGGAGCATCCATGAGTCTCTACAGCTTATAAAATCTAAATTGAAACTATATCTCTAGGGCTGGTAGAAAACCAGTGAAGTAGAAACTCCAAGAAATGAGCTGGGGGATAGGGTAGGGGATGGAGAGAAAAGAGGTCTTTACAACAAGATTACACGGAAACTAGAAAAAAAAATTATCAAATGTCCTCTTTTCTGAGATTAAAAGGTATTAAAACAACATAAAACATATAAACACACAAAGTAAAACCTGTTTCGAGTTGAAAAATACACAAAGAAACAAAGAGGAATGCTATTCCTTGTTACATTAAAAAAAAAAAAGTTAGAATAATGCAGAGCAAGAAAAACAAAGGCTTTCATTTGGTTTCTTGCTATTCGAAACAAGCTGATTATGTTCCCTTTGTCTCTGAGGAACACCAAACCTACCATGTGGTAATGTTATGTTTGCACCATCAATGATTGCTTGTGCCAGTTCATGATCATTGCTCTCAAAAGCATGTGCAGCAGCCTTCAAGGCATCCCAAATCTCTTTACGGCCTTCAAAAGCTGGTGCGGTATCCCAAAATTCATCCCTCTTGCTGCGCAGTTGTCCATCTGTCATAGGATAATCGCTTTTCCATTTTGGTTTCTCTTTTTTCAAAGGCTGGTTACGACCTAGAGCGACTGAGAAGAAAAATAAAAGACTGACATCAAAACCAAAATTTTCAAAATATCAAGTTATATGGTCAATCCTCTTTTGTATTCTTTCACCAAAATTATAGCTGTAAATAAGTTTGGCTATTAGCTAATTTCTGTATCCTACAATTCCCCTGACCCATTTTAGAAATACAAGAGCAAATGGAAACATTAGATGGCTCTATCCAAAACTTCCAGTGACAAATTAGTAGTTCTTCCCCACTCAGTATGCCTTCTCCAAAGGATAATTAAAACTAATCACAATTGTAACAAATGTACTACTCTGGTGGGGGATGTTGATAATGGGGGAGGCTATGCATGTGGGGGTTGGGGGGCAGAGAGTACATAGGAAATCTCTGTACCTTCCTTTCAATTTTGTGGTGAACCTAAAACTGCTTTAAAAAAAAAAAAACTTTAAAAAATACAATAAAAGTTTTGTTTTGATGTTTTTAAAAGACTGCCTAAAAGAATAGCAATAAGTGTTTCATCAGACTGTAATGCCAGGATACAAAAGAGTCAAGGGATGTCACCATCCCTTGCCACAAGAGAGGAAAGATACACAGGGAAAACCAAATGCCAATAGTAGCTTGAATCTCAGGAACTTTGGACATATAAAGCCAGGAAGTAGGAACTGAGAAGATCCAAAGAGGAAAAAGACTGCTTCTGGTGTCCAGGGGAAGAAAAGCCAAACCATTAGATCCATGAAGAAACTGATCAGAGAAATGCCTCCTCTAGCATTCCCCTTTCTGCACTCTGAAACTCAAACAGGAGCTAATTTAAAAAGGGGTAGGAAAGAATACTTTATTTTTTTGGAGGAACTAGGAATGGAACAGATGATCTTTGACACTGGGCCAAGGAATAAACTTGGAATCACAAGGAACTGAACTACAATACCTTACTCTAATTTCAACTCAATAAGAGAAGAAAAACAGAGGGCAAAATTCCACTCCCTTTAGTCCTGTGTGGCAGCATCTCTCTTACAGAATGTTACGAATAAGTCAGAACAAGTCTGGTGCAGCTTCTATGCACCCAGATACTGACCTGGCATATGATCACAGATCTGTTTTCCATGGGTCATACTAACATACAGAGCCATTCTTCTCTATGACTCTGTAGCCACAGATAAGAAATAGTTTGATAGATAGGAGAAGAGGTAGAAAGAAAATTAAGTGCGATGAAAAGAAGAGTGTTGGGCAAGAGTGGGTGGGAAATAAATGACAGAGCATGTGGGAAGGAGAGAGAGTGTATGTCAAAATTCAGGGTTCTATATTTAAGTGCAGGAAGAATACCAATTTAAAACAATTTACTCTCAAAACGGTTCTAAAGCATTCATGAAATTAACTACTCCTTCACGGGCCCAAGGCCAAAAGCAACTGAGGTAAGCATAACAGAAAATAAAATGACTCCAGCCCCTAGGTAATACTCCAGGCTATACTCCCTGATGACAAGACCAACTAATGGTGCAGTTTGGTTTGACATCTGAATTAAAACATACTATCTTCATCTAGTGTGGCCACTTTATCTAAAGGCCGTATGCATCAGGTCTCTTCTGTCCTCTCACCTTCAGGGTGGCACAACATGGAACCACCAGCTGTTTTCCACTTAAAACACTGAGCACTGACTCACAATACTTTTCAGCCCTCTAAATGGCCCCAGTGAAACACAAAACAGGTGAGTTCTAAAAGTGTGCAAACAGCAAAGTAGGAAAACTGTCCACTTTGTAGCAGAGCTGGAAATAGAATCCAAGCCTCCTTATTTAATTGACAAATATGCACTGAGTATGTATTAAGAGTAACACTATAGATGTGCCTGTCAGGTTTAATTCAAATGTGAGAAACAATCTATTCTAATGACTTTTCCCTACATCTTCCAAATAATACAGATAAATGCAGATAGAGCATAATTTTCCAAAAGTGTTCAGAATATGTCCGATAATCACAATCTACCCACTAAACCTGCCAACAAGGTAAAATGCAAGGTAAACTTTATTTTACGGTACATCACCCTTGAGAAGAGTTAGGAAAGTTTATGGATAACAGTATTAGTTTACTGAGCAGGAAATGGAAGACGGGACACAATAAGTAGGTAGATTCAATAAGGTATCTATTTGAATAACGTTTCAGGTCTACATGAGTAGTTCCAGAGAATAATCTAGCCTCATATGCATTATATGTACCAGAGAGATAACTTAGTATAATTTTTCTTGTCATTGTGGGAGAATCACAAGGCAAAGGCAAAAACAACATAGCCTCCATAACCTCAGTACCAAAAATTAAAGCAACTGAAAGAGGCCCTCAAACAGAGGAACCCAATGGAAAAGTAATTTCATAATAAAGGTAGAAAATATTTTGGAAAAAGTAAAGGCACCTTCCTTACAAATATGAGGTAGCTTTATTTTATCTCCCCCCATTTGTTGTAGGCATAAGAACAAAGTCCCATAAAAAGGATAGATGATACATTTATGCAGCTTAAGGTAATCATCATTCCAAAGGTATTTTCAAATCTATATGCTGTCAAAAGGTCCACAGTAATTACTTGGCACAAAAATAAATAAAACAAAATTAATGCTTGTGACATGAAAACAGTCTACTTTTATTTCTGTATAGGTCTCTACTTTTTCCCCTATATCATAAACATACATATTACAGAATATCTGCATATAGAATGTCTATTATCAAAATGCTTAAATATTTGCAACAAATTATTATTTTAGTGAAACCACTTAGCAGTGCAGAATTTACACTAAAAATCTGAGGTTAAAAGTTTTATATTAAAAGGCTGGCCCGTGGCTCACTCTGGAGAGTGCAGTGCTGATAACACCAAGGCCACAGGTTCGGATCCTATATAGGGATGGCTGGTTAGCTCACTGAGTGTGGTGATGACACCAGCAAGCCAAGGGTTAAGATCCCCTTACTGGGCATCTTTAAAAAAAAAAAAGACAACTTTTATATTAAACTAAATGAAGTTTACTGCCTAAGTTACCTTTGTTTTTTTAAAAAATAAAAAATTAATTAATTAATTTTATTTATTTATTTTAAATTTTATTTTTCGATATACAATGTGGTTGATTATTGTGGCCCATTACCGAAACCTCCCTCCCTCCTCCCTCTCCCCCTTCCCACCCAACAATGTCCTTTCTCTATGCTTGTCATGTCAACTTCAAGGAATTGTAATTGTTGTGTCTTCTCCCCCCCACGTTTTTGTGTGTGTGTGTGAATATATTTATTTTTAGCTCCGACTAATAAGTGAGAACATGTGATATTTCTCTTTCTGTGCCTGACTTGTTTCACTTAATATAATTCTCTCTAGGTCCATCCATGTCATTGTAAATGGCAGTATTTCATTCTTTTTTATAGCTGAGTAGTATTCCATTGTGTAGATATACCACATTTTCCATATCCACTCATCCGATGATGGACATTTGGGCTGGTTCCAACTCTTGGCTATTGTAAAGAGTGCTACGATGAACACTGGGGAACAGGTATACCATCAACTAGATGATTTCCATTCCTCTGGGTATATTCCCAGTAGTGGGATAGGTGGGTCATATG